CTCAAACTCTCCCCACTTAGAATTTACAGTAACTTCTCAAGCACATAGAATAATAATTAAAATTCTTAAGCCTAAATATTCATGATCCTATACTGAGATAAATCCAATAATTAACTACATACAGTTGAAAAGGGTTTTTGCATTTCATGTCTGTATTGTTCACAATCAAAGTAACTTAATTTATAATTAATCCCCAATATTTTGGATTGACATAATAGTATAAAGCACATGTTACTAACTGAAAGGCTATTTTACTCCAATTGATGATTCAGAATCTCAGACTCAACTTGCCACTTGAGCATTCTCCACGTATAACATTCTTCAGTGTTTGTGTTTTCATCTGGATCAAGAAAGGAGGGGAAAGTTCACAGGGGATTCTGACTGTGAGGTGCTTATGAGCCAGAAATGTAAGTGATGTATATCACTTTCATTCCCCAACTCAGTCATATGACTATAGTCAACTGAAAAGGGAAGCTGTGTGTCTAGGATGAAGAGAAATGGATTTGATGATTAGCTAACGGTTTCTTGTGCCGTATATCTTCTGATTATCACTTCCCTGTTTTACCCTCCCTCCCACATAGAGAACACTCTCAGTCTCTTCCCAAGGCAGTCAAACCTAGTTCCAATCTAGTCTGTATCCTGACAAAAAGCTGGGATGTCCGGGTGATATTTTTTTCACACCATCAAATCCAGTCAGCTGTGGCTGTTCTTTGTCTAGGTACTAAGAATTTTTTATTATACTATTTTGCCACATACTGCCAATATACAATTTTTGTAGGATTTACATTACAGTTTTAATACAATTTTTGTAGGATTTATCTGTTATCCTATGAACACATGAACTTTACAAAGATGTCCAGAGTACTTATCAGGCCTAATTAACATGATACCGTCAATGTAATTAATCAGCCTACTATTCTACAATATGTCCAGAAAATAAAGTTTATTTCAGACACAAAGCAGAACAGTTAGCATAGCCCTGGGGCAAGATCATCAGTGTATCCTGTTACCCATCCCAGTTTAATGTAAAAGGCTTATGATCCTCATTCCTGATCAGTATTGAAGAGAATAGATTTCCACATCAAAACCTATATATTTCATACCAGATATTGTATTGAGAGGTTCCCGTAAGAGTAGCATCTCTGGCAAAACAACAGTAGATGCTACAACATGGCTAAGTTTGTGATTTCTGCTGTTACCAGCCTCAATCTATACAGGTTTTGCAGAGATCAGGGTGGCAGAATAAATAGGGGTATAATGGGGGTCACCGCCCTTGCAGCCTTTGAGTTTCTGAGAAAGGCGTTAATTATATGACAAATGCCTGAGACGTCTCTCTCAGACACAAACCTTTCCACTGCATGAAGCTGGCAGACCCACAGTTCTCAGGGAAAGCTCCTAAAAGACAATTTAAAGCTGCTTGTTCTAAAGAAGGCCATAGGCATTTGCAAGTTCTTTAAACTGAAGGAAACCATGATCTACCACTTCCTTTATCTGAGGTGCTTTGACTCCCTCTGAGAGTTGAGCTACTTAAAAAATATTCAATCATTGAATCTAAAAAATAAAAAAGGGTGTGTTTACATTTCTTGTATTCAAAGATTACCTCAGACAGTCATTTAGGATATGGTAATCTCACATCAGATTCCCTCAGTAAAAGGGGAAAACTTCATTCTCTGTGGACTTGCTTGGTTTGTTCATGCTTTCCACGCCAAAGGTTGTCTTGCTTTAGCATAGCAGTAGTTTGAAAATCATCTCCAAAGTTTCTTGTGTGGTAACTTCTCAGGTCCTCCATTGTAATTCCCATCTACACACCCTGGCCCACCATCTGCAATCCTCATCTCTTTAAGGAGTGGGTCTCCTGGCTACTTTCAGACACTGCAGGAATTTCCAGGTGCTGGCCACACAATTTTAGCTTCCAAAGCTAAATTTCAAGGCTCTCCTGCCTGCACACGCTGCTGAGCCAAGTTAAATTTTTCTTTAACCAACTTTATTTTGATGAAGCCAGATAAAGAAGGAGCTGAAGGCAAATTCTGGCACTCTAAGACCCCCCACCCCTAAGATCCAATCACCAACGCAGAACACACCCTATCCCTACTCCTTAAAAACGTGCTTCCTCACCCACGAGCTACTGCGCCCTCTCTCTGGGGGCAGCTATTTTCTCTTTCAGATAATAAAATCTCTTGCGTGGGCCTGTGTCTCCTGAGTCATTCTGGATAAGGAGGGTCACGGTGAGATACCCTTTCAGGAGCAGAGCCAGAAATGTTTCCTTTCCAGTACTCTAAATTAGAAACTAGGCAAAAGTCCCACTTTTCTAAGACTACCTGTGATAGACAAAATAATGGCCCCCAAAGATGTGAACCTGTAAATATGTTAAATTACATGGAAAAGGAGAATTAGTGTTGCAGATGGAATTATGTTTGCTAATCAGCTTATTTTAAAATAAGGAGATTATCCTGGATTATCTGGGCAGGTCCAATGTAATTGCAAAGACCCTTAAAGTAGAAGAAGGAGGCAGAAGAGTCAGGGTCAAAGGAAGATATATCTACAGAAGACAGGCACAGAAAAATGCAGCAATAGTAGCTTTGAAGGTAGAGGGAGGGGCCCACAAGCCAAAGAATGTGGGCAGCCTCTGGAAGGTGGAAAAGGAAAGGAAACAAATTCTCTCCCAGACCCTACAGAATGGAACTTAGCCCCATGACAACCTTGATTTTAGCCCACTGAGATTCATGTCAGACTTCTCTCTACACAGTACTATAACAGAATAAATTTGTATTGTTTTAAGGCACTAAGTTTGTAGTAAATTGTTAAAACAGAAATAGAAAGCACACTACCTCATCCCTCTCTAACTTGCCCCTCCACCTTCCAAATCCCCATTCCTCTCCAGAAGGGGGAATTGTCTCTAGCAGTTACCAAAGGAAAAGGGTTGAGGAGGGTGGGTGGGGAGGGAAGGAGCATTATAACTAGCATTCACAATATAGGTAGGTCACGGGGAAGGCAGTATAGCACAGAGAAGACAAGTAGTGACTGTAGCATCTTACTATGCTCATGGACAGTGATTGCAATGGAATATTGTGGGAGGGACTTGATAATATGGGTGAATGTTGAAACCAATCTTGCTCATGTGAAACCTTCATAAAATCACATATTAACGATACCTTAATTTAAAAAAAATTTTTAACTATATGTCTGATTATTCCCCTGTCATCACTGTTCTCTGTCTTTTCCTCATAATCTCTTGGGGACAGAAGAATAGACTTTCCACCCTATTCTGACATGTCCTTCTTATAAACAGTATTAAGTTTAAGACCCTGTTGTCACAGAAAAAAGAGGTGAGTATACAAAACCTCTTACATCTTTGGTGAAAAATATACCAAAGAAGGAAATAAATAAATTTAGAATGTGTGCTCTTAGGAATCACTAAAAAGTCAAATACTAGCTTTTTCCAACTTTAAGTATCACAAGAAGAAGCATGTTAAAATAGCAAATTTATATTCCACAGTTGCAAAATACTTGCAAAAATATTATCCCCATTGACTATGGAACTTGGCACAGCTGTTTTTTCCAGCTGTGTGATGCAGTCTTGCTCTATAACAGTCTGTGTCACAAAAGCACCCCGAATATAAAAACCTGCCTCTAGACTACACCCCAAGTTAGTAACAGTTTTTCTAAAAATAATGAAAGTGTAAGGAGACTGAGAAAGTCTGTATATTGACATATAGCAGTTATATATAGCCAAGACTAAGGAGTTTATATAGCGCATAAGGAAAAAAATGAGCTTTGCCTCTGGCCTTGATGTGGAGCAGTGGAGACAGGAACTTAGACAGAACTGAAAGATTTGGTACCCATAAGGAGCAACCTACTTCGAACAAGCCCGCACAGCAGAAGGCAGTGCTCAGATGCAGAAAAAGGACTGGGGTCTGAAGAAACTGAGCTCCAAGCATGCTGTGTCTGAAGCCAGTCTCCCTACCTTGGGCTTTGGGATCTGACTCAACAGAGTATTCATTTCCTCAGATAAAAATAATAGGTCAAAGTGAGGGGAACATGTTTTGTGTATGAGGATGTCTTTTCTTTCATTTTTTACTAGGGTATCTACCAGGCCATATGTAAAAGTCGGGAAGCCAACAAAGGCAAACAGGCCAGACAAAGATCATATATAACTTTTATAAGGAAAACATCAATTTAAGTTACATACTTATGGATTGATTAAGTAAACCTGCTATTTCAGGTGATTGTCAATTCCAGAAAAAAAAAAAAACATATTGAACTGGTGTATCTGTGTTGGAAATAAGGTGCTTAGTAAGATTACTTAATAAATTAAAAGGTTGAAGTTTTTAAAGATCTCAGAACTTTCCATTATATTGCAGGAAAAGTAATTATTTGAAGTATTTAATTGCTAAACTTATAGTCTTTCAGTGAATGCAATACAAATATGTTAATTTTCAAAATTAATTTTAAGGTTCCTTAGATATATTCATGTTAAATGCCTCAAGAAGAATATATGTTATCACATTTAGTCTAACAATATTACTTAATGTACATATTATTTCATCATTATAAATATCTAAGAAGGATATGTGTACCTGTAAAATCTTGAAAATTACTTGCTCAAGAATTAATAGAATGTGTTTCTTAAACAGAGGATTTACACAGATTGTCTTCCTTTAAAAGAATTTAAGTTCAAAAAGTTCTAAACTGTGTGTCTCTGAAAACACACGAGTTCATTCATGTTGCAAAGACAGTAATTTAGAAATTGCTGTTTCACTTTTGTCCTTGAGGATTAATTAAAAACAACAAAAACAAAGTGGAGTCTGTCCTTACCAGGTATTAATTATCTTGACCACATAATTTATAACTAAGACAAGCATATCTAGTCTAAATTTTATTATTCATTCATTTAACAATTACTAAGCCCCTATTGTTTGCAAAATCCAGGCCAGATATTATGTTTTATTTAAACAGAGAGTAAAATGGAAAGAATAGCAACAATTTTTATGAAAAATATTTATCACTTTTCTCAGTGCGCCTAAAACTTCCTTGTTTCTTAGGCTGTAAATGAAAGGGTTTAGCAGAGGGATTATAATTGTGTAGAACAGTGAATACATTTTATCCTGATACTGATCTGGGCCAGACCCAGGACGCACATACATGAAGAAGAGAGTGCCATAGAACAAGGAGACGGAGAGCAGGTGGGCGCTGCACGTGGAGAAGGCTTTGCTCCTGTCCTTTTCAGACTTCTTTTTCAGGATGGCGAAGAGGACACAGGTGTAAGAGACAATGATGGTCGTAAAAGTAAAAGCTTGTATAAAAGCAGCAAAAATGAAAACCACCAGTGCATTAAGAGATGGGTCAGTGCAAGAAATTGTATATAGTGACAAGATTTCACAATAGAAATGATGAATTATATTGGACCTGCAGAAGGTTAATCTAAATAATAATCCCACATGAATTATGGGATGCAGAAAACCAATTACATAAGACATGCTTATCATCCAAGTGCAGAGTCTGTTGGACATCACCACCGGGTAGAGCAAGGGGTTGCATATGGCTACATAACGGTCATAGGCCATCACTACCAGGAGGAAACATTCTGTAGTTGCACTGAAACCAAAAAAATAATATTGGGCCATGCACTCAAAAAGGGATATCATTTGACTATTGTCTAAGATGCTGACAAGCATCCTGGGGGTCACAGAGGATGAAGAACAAGCGTCTGCAAGGGCCAAACTGCCAAGGAGGAAGTACATGGAGGTGTGAAGGTGGAGGTCCTTCCAGATGAGAACAGTCAGTCCGAGGTTGCCCACCATGGTGGTGAGGTAGATGACCAAGAACAGCAGGAACAGGGGTACCTGCAGCTCTGGACGATCTGTAAACCCAGTGAGAGCAAACTCAGTCACCTGCGTCCTGTTTGCTTCCATCATATCCACTCAGGCTGACCACAGCAGTGGAGAGAATAGCTAAAGAAAAAATTAATCAAGGATCATGAGAACTGGTATTGGATTCCAGTGTCATATTCCTCTATTTCAGATACCCCTTATTCAACAAATATGAAGGTGCAGGGTTTCTCTTTTTTAAAACATACCTAAGAATATTAAGTTCTTTATATTATAAATAATTTCAAAAAGTAAAGATTCATTTAAAAGGGCCTTAAAAAGTGTTATGACTGGAAATGTCATACAGGAGGCTGTAGATACCAGTAGACTTGGCCGAATAACTTATCAGTCATAAATGCCCTCAAATTGAATGTACTCACAATAAAATGTTTTTCAGAATTAAAAATAAAAAATGCACAACACATTTTATACTAAACTCTTTTAAACCAAACACTGGTTCAAGTTCAAAAGCGTTTTATCCTTTCTTATGTCTTCTATTGAACAAAATCTGGCCTCTGTCTTCAGTATTAATGATACATATCACTTTCTCTAACACATTACTGGATTGAGTAATAAGACTTCCAAGTGAGTTAAAATCACATTGGTGCTGTATTCTGTCCATTACCATTATGTTATTTGATTATATGTTCATCAAAATCACCCCCAAACCCCTAATTAATCCTTCTGATTATACATTCCTCAAAATCAACCCAAATTTCTAATAGACTTTTTTTTAACTTTCCCCAATAAATTCTCATATGTGAACATATTCATTCAGTCAAAAAATATTTATTTAGTACCTCCTAAGTTAGAACACTGTCATTCTTAGCTCAGACACACAAAGACTCTCTCACTCTGTTGTTACACCACAGATACTAAAATAATCCCTGTTTAGGCTGGAGAAGCAATAAAAACACTAGCCAGTTTGTTCCCACATTTGCCTGTCCTTAAACATGCCACTGTAGACAATTATCAGGCAGTTAACCAAGAATGTTTTTAATATATCAGAGGCACAGATTTCTAAAATGATGGTAAGAGTTTTCCTTTTCCTGCCCTTTTTGAGATTACAAGTGAGACTATCAAAATTACACGGTGGAATAAAATATTATAAATAACACCACAGTGGAAAGAACAGCCAGTGTTTTGAAAACCTGGATTCAGTTTAACTAACAAAAATATAAATTTTCTTTAAATAGTAAATCAAATGAAGGGAAACAATGAACCACATTAACAGGCAATGTGTAACATAAACATAGGCAAGGCAGGTGAGAGGCCTCAACTACAAGTGTATCAGTGAGTTTTAAGGGCATAGGAAGTAAGTGAGAAGGCTAGGTCCTATGGAAACTCTGGGGAAACCTAAGCCACAATGCATTTCATCAATGATAAAATATGCACAAGTCTGAACATAAAACATGTTTTGTGTATTTCAATTCCTGCTTTAGTGATCTAAAGTAAGGTCTATCAATTTAGAAACAGCTGACTAAGTATGCCTCATCCATGGGAATATTTACCAGTCTTAGGTTCACACCTCCTAGGCTTTTATGACATGGCCACTCAAGTGACTGTCATCCCAACACTTATTTTTCTTCTAAAACCTGTCACCAATTCTGTACAGATGTAGCTGAAGACTTCACTCCCCAAGTCTAAGTTGGCCTGAAACATTTTCTCAAAGCACCTATTTGATAATTCAAAAAGAAAGAACAACATGGAAAATTTAAGGATGATAGTGTCTGTGAAAAATTCAGTTCTGATGAGAATAATCTTTGAATGGTAAAAATATATAGAAGAATTGGGGTATCTTACATAGATGGGCACATAGGTTTTGTTCCTTTTAAAAAGAAATACTATGTTGAGGAAAACAGTCTTCTAAGTTCATTTGACATTGAAAAGGAGAAAAGTTGTTTGGGATTTATGATAGACATTAGAAAGTACTAAGAGGCTGGCAACATTTGCAGTAATTGAATAAGCACACTGCCGTTGAATCACTGACAGCAGCAGATTATCCTTATTTTACCCTCTGCACTAAATACAATAAAGAGGTGTGGCTCTCAGCAAATGTGGTGACCTCTTCTTTTCCAGAGAAGTACTATCTAAACAAGAACCATGTTGAAGGGGAAGGGACAGACTCCTCTTAAAAGCCCCATAACTCTATGATTCTTAACTGTTAGAAAATCTTAATTATGTGAGATCTCCAAAGTAAAGAATAGGCCAGAATGAATTTTACTTTTAGAGAAAGTTTTAAATAAATAGGTTCTGTAAAATCATTATCCTAGCAAGGAATATGTTAACAGAAATGTAACAAGATTTCAAAAGCTTTGAATCTCAACTCCACCTCCTAATTACTAAATGATTATGCCTAAGTCACTTTATGACCCTTGTTTTAAAGTTCTCATCTATAAAGCAATGGATTTCCTTAAGGTACATTTCTATCCACAGTCTATGAGACTATGACTCTTTGTATTTAGTGGGTAGCATAGGATAGAGGGTAAGCACACAAACTCTATAATGCATGAGTCGAAGTCTTCCTTCTACAAATCTATAGCCTTGTATCCATAAGGGTTTAGAGGAATTGAACAAATTTTTATTTAGTTATTCAGTCAGGATTGCTTTCTGTTCCATTTAGTAGAAAAATCACCTGAAAAAAATCTTTCATATATTTTGACAGAAATAGAGAAAGTTGTGGTACTAAAATGATATGTTCTATCATTTTTCATGGAAAGAATAATTATAATAAAATAGAGCACTGAATTCTCACCCAATTCCTACAAGAAGATGCAGAGATGCCATAAAAATTAATTTTCATGAAGAACTCTTAAGATACAAGAATGAAAAAATAAAGCACAATTATTTGTTTCATGTTATATTTCTTTGAGAAATGCAGGGAATGGAAATATATTTATACTTTCCTATCTTCAAACCTGTTTGTGAAGATAATATTGAAACTCCCTCAATGCCACCAAAAGATTCCCTGTAGAATGAAGTCAATCTACTGGGCATAGACCAATCAACAAATCACATCTAACATCCCCTTTATAGCTATTATTTTTTAAGCTGTTTTCTTCTGAAAATAAAAGTTACAGGTTAATTGTAGAAAAATATCAGAAATGTATAAAAGCAAAATGGAAACACATTGTTGTAATCTCTCTAATCACCGATAAATACAGTTAACTACTTGGTGTATGTTTCTCTTATCATTTACACATGCATGTAGCTATATTTATGTACATTAATATATACATGATGTATAATATATAGTCTTAAATACATTTAAAAATAAAATGACACCACTACACATAAGTTTCATAAACTATTTTTAATTTAATAATGTATCATTTATATTCTTCCATATCATTAGTTTGAAAAACATGTGGGTTTTTTCCCCAGGTTATGTAATTTTTCATTAAGTCTATAACTAGATTTCCTAGATTTTAAGTTAATTTGTCCAAGTATGTACCTTTTTTCAAAATAAATCTCCAATGGACCCACTGTGGAAATAATGCCAATTTACACTATTAATTTTGAAACAACTCATTTCCCAAACTTGACACTATCAAAAATAAATAAAATTATTTGTAATATATTATATATTAGATATGTAGTAAATATTTGTAATATGATATATATATATATGTATATGAACACATGCAGGCACATAATCTTATATATCTGTATCTATCTACACAATTAAACTTGCCAAGAAATATGCCTGACCTATATTTATTTGATTAAAAATGTAGAACTAAGTATGAAAATTCATAATTTTTCTAAACAAATTTGACCTACTAAAGGTGTAAATTTTCTTAAATTATAAATTTGATGCAGCATCAAACAAAATCATAGAGAGCTAGTTTGACTAGAAAATTCTAATTCATCTGGAAGAGCAAATAGATCTTTTAATGTCAAAAGAATTTTTTAAAGAACAAAGAAAGGAAATGTTCCATGCCAGGTCTGTCAATGTATCATAAAGTTGGGTGTAACAATCGGAGGAATGCTTGATGTCATCAAGGTTCACTATGGATAGAAATTCACTGAAATTCGAATGTCTATTTCCAGACATGGGGAAGAAGAGCAGTAAAGACTTTGGAAAGAGGCAGGCTTTGGTTCAAATCTGGTTTTGCCTCTAAGACTTTGGTCAAGTAACTTAAATTCACTAAGCTTTGATTTCCTCATTTGTGACATAAAATTGATTATGTGCACTTGCAAGCTTGTAAAAATCAAATGAGAGGACGTATGTCAAGCCTTTAGCACTGTACTTAACAGATGGTAGAGGCTCATTAAATAGTAACAATTTGTGTTAGTTATTTTAGTTATATATAAATAAAGCAGCTAAACTCTTTTGTTAGAGAATGGTTTTGGGGTGAGCAAAATTGAAATATGATTTCTCTGTTTGATGATCAATTTATTTCTTGCCAGAAAAATGTCCAATGTTCAGAAAGCAATCTTGCTTTCTGACGCCTTTCTTCATAATAGAGATTTTATAGACACTTTTTACAGTCTCCTAAGACTGATATTTCTTAATGTATTTGTTTAAAAAAATACAGTAATCATTATCATCAAAACAAATTGTATTTTAAATTGTACTTTCAGTAGAAATGTTTTCATATAAACTATTTTAATTTCTCAATAATATTGGAGCACCTGACATTTCTCACGTCACCTTATGTAATGAAGAAAATTCTGGAGTAAAACAGTGGCAGTCTGTGACAGTGCAGTGAGTGGAACTGGTTCTCCTCTTAGCTTAGCCAGTTATTGATTATGTAACTTTGGAAAAGTTGGATCTTAACTTTTCCCAATTTACAAGCCTATTACAAGCCTATTCCCAATGATTTTCCCAATTTTTATCTTCTATATACATTTATACTCAATAGACTCTATAACCAAATTCATCAGTATCTTTGCTTACACCTGTATTTATACAGTGATTTATGCTCTGTGTATTCTTCCACATTATCAACTGAATGTGGACACAAGTGTATATCATCATCTCCATTGTACAAATGAAGAAGTTAAGGCACTGTCCATTTAAATTAGCATCAAACATTTCATTG